GGGAAGGGGCAATCTGTATTTTTTTACAAGCTATCCAGGCAATTCTGATGCTCACTAGAGTCTGAGAACCACTGTCTTATGGGATCAACAATCTGCATGCAGAACACCCTTTGGGAAACAATTTGCAAAATTGCATTTCTGACAAGTCTCTATATTTCCTGGAAGGAAGATAAAAATTGCTGGTTGCCCCTGTTCCCTCAAGGGTAGAATAAGGATATCCACTGCCTCCCGGGATAAGGATTGAGCAGGATAATTAGTAAAAGTGTTTTTGTAAACTAGGTGGTAAAGTGATATATAGATATTAGTTATCGTTATGGTGACCTTGAATTTCAGCTGAAGGATTTATATCACTAAGCTCTGGGGAAAGCCAAGTGGAATGTGGACACAGATGGTCCTTAACTTTCACATATTCAAGTTTTCTACAAGTCGATTTTCACACATTATCTATGCCCCCCCTAAAATGCCTTTCCCACACCGAATCGGGAATTTCCTACACTTGCAATTTAATGAGCAATTTGAGGTATCCCATGGCTGCACCACCTGCCAACCCACAGCTCTGCTTTGGCAGGGTCACATCTTTTCCTATTTCACAGTTTTTGTGCATATTTTATTGCACTCAGCCATTATGATTTACAAAGAAAACAGGAGGAAAACAGTAAGCAACACAGTACTCGCCCATGTTTAGTTTTTCTTCCATTTCTCTGGCAGTCTTAGGCTATGATTGTTTGGGTTTTTTGTTTGATGCATGGGATAACATCTCAAATATCTCCTACTGACACAAATTTGTATTTCTTTCAAGTTCTCCTCTGCTCCCGGAGTTATTTCTGCTTCCTCTGGTCGTTTGTTCTTCTTGTTCCTTTTTAGTCTTGACATCTGGTGATCCCCAGATGCCTGGGAATCCCTAGTTATCTATTCATATTTTTATGATTTGGGGTACTGGCATGGGCTCCCTCTACAGCTGCTGGCCCTTGTTTCCCCCCATGGGTTCTCCCCGAAAAGGCAGGGTGGCTGTGATCTTCACTTAAGTGGGTAAGACCTTGACCAAGAGACTCCACTCCAGGGACTTGGACATGGAGAAGACAGGCTGAAGACACCTTACCCTCTCGGCTCTCACCTCCTGCTCTCGTTGCCTGGCAGTGTTGGACTTCAATGAATTTTTCACCTCAGCAAAGATGACTTAGATATTTTATTCCTTCTGAGTCCATTTTGGAATTTTTTATTTATCTCTCTTAGCCCTCTATCCCTCCCCCCACCCCCCACATCACTATCCCTCTCCACACTATTTGAAGGGATATTCTCTTAGGGGTTTTATCTCAGGGTTTAAGGCTGCTGCTGCTACTGGCCATGGTGGTGCTGATGGTGGGGTCAAAGACATGACTGGCTTTGCTACTCTGAAGGCTGGTCTGTAATTAATTATTTGTCATTAATGATCCCGATAATTAAGTATCTCAGAACCCCCTACTGCTCTTGACTTGTAGTCATCCTAACTCTGAGCTGGGAGTTTCTTTTAACCTTTTTCTTTCTGCTCTGATCTATTTTTTATAGATTTCTCTAGAACGGTAGTTCTCCATTTACGGTGCCTGAGCCGACAGCATCAGCAAAACCTGGGAACTTGTTAGAAATGCAAATTGTTTATCCATAAGACCGCTGATGAGCATTTGGTGGTTTCTAGATTTTTGACTATTACAAATAAAGCTACTGTGAATATTGTTGTACAGATGCTTCTGTGGACATATTTTTTCATTTCTATTGGGTAAATACCTAGAAGTAGAAGGGTAGGACAAATCCAATCTGACGCAATCCAAGAATTCTTCATAGATATGATCCACTAATGGTACAGTGTTATGGATTTATTCTTTTTATGGTTGCCAGATAAAACGCAGTAAGTCCAAAATACTTCATTTAGGGCATATTTCTACTAAAAAACTATTCTTTGTTTACCTGAAATCCATATTTAACTGGGTGTCCTGTATTTTTCAATTTTTTTTTTTGCTAAATATGCCCACCCTAATTCCTTTTTATTATCATGTAAGTTATTTTAAGACCTTTGGAAGGTAGAAGGAACAAGATTTACTTGTATGATCATTCCACCATCTTAATCCAAGATAGAAACTTGGCGGAAAACTGGTAGCCTCATAATCCATTTATTAGTCTGTTCATTCCAATGCAAAATATGCTGCCCAAACCAGTGAAAATTTACCATCAGAAAGTCCTCCTTCCTAACGTGAAATCAATATCTTATGTCTGCAAAATGTCATTTCAAGTAGGCTAGGAGCAGAATTTGAAGTAAAAAATTACATTAGATAAGAAATTCTATGGCCTGTCACAATTCCAGACTTCAAGCTCTATTACAAAGCTGTCATCATTAAGACAGTGTGGTACTGGCACAAACAGAGACATAGATCAATGGAACAGAATAGAGAGCCCAGAAATGGACCCTCAACTCTATGGTCAACTCATCTTTGACAAAGCAGGAAAGAATGTCCAATGGAAAAAAGACAGTCTCTTCAACAAATGGTGTTGGGAAAATTGGACAGCCACATGCAGAAGAATGAAACTGGATCAATTCCTTACACCACACACAAAAATAGACTCAAAATGGATGAAAGACCTAAATGTGAGACAGGAATCCATCAAAATCCTTGAGGAGATCACAGGCAGCAACCTCTTCGACCTCAGCCGCAGCAACTTCTTCCTAGAAACATCGCCAAAGCAAGGGAAGCAAGGGCAAAAATGAACTATTGGGACTTCATCAAGATAAAAAGCTCTTGCACAGGAAAAGAAACAGTCAACAAAACCAAAGACAACCTACAGAATGGGAGAATATATTTGCAAATGACATATCAGATAAAGGGCTAGTATCCAAAATCTATAAAGAACTTATCAAACTCAACACCCAAAGAACAAAGAATCCAATCAAGAAATGGGCAGAAGACATGAAAAGACATTTTTCCAAAGAAGACATCCAAATGGCCAACAGACACATGAAAAAGTGTTCAACATCTCTCGGCATCAGGGAAATACAAATCAAAACCACAATGAGATACAACCTCACATCAGTCAGAATGGCTAAAATTAACAAGTCCGGAAACGACAGATGTTGGTGGGGATGCGGAGAAAGGGGAACCCTCCTACACTGTTGGTGGGAATGCAAGCTGGTGCAACCACTCTGGAAAACAGTATGAAGGTTCCTCAAAAAGTTGAAAATAGAGCTACCGTATGACCCAGCAATTGCACTACCGGGTATTTACTCCAAAGATACAAATGTAGTGATCCAAAGGGGTATGTGCAGCCCAATGTTTATAGCAGCAATGTCCACAATAGCTAAACTATGGAAAGAGCTAAGATGTCCATCAACAGATGAATGGATAAAGAAGGTGTGGTATACATATACAATGGAATATTATGCAGCCATAAAAAAAAATGAAATCTTGCCATTTGCAACGATGTGGATGGAACTAGAGGGTACTACGCTAAGCAAAATAAGTCAATCAGAGAAAGACAGGTATCATATGATCTCACTGATATGAGGAATTTGAGAAACAAGACAGAGGACCATAGGGGAAGGGAGGAAAAAATGAAACAAGATGAAACCAGAGAGGTAGAGAAACCATAAGAGACTCTTAATCTCAGGAAACAAACTGAGGGTTGCTGGAGTGGTGGGGGTGGGAGGGATGGGGTGGCTGGGTGATGGACACTGGGGTGGGTATGTGCTATGGTGAGCACTGTGAATTGTGTAAGACTGTTGAATCCCAGACCTGTACCTCTGAAACAAATAATACAATATGTTTTAAAAAAAGAAGATAGTAGGAAGGGAAAAATGAAATGGGGGAATCAGAGGGGGAGACGAACCATGAAAGACTGTGGACTCTGAGAAACAAACTGAGGGTTTTAGGGGGGGTGGGTTAGCCCAGGGATGGGTATTAAGGAGGGCACGTATTGCATGCACCACTGGGTGTTATACACAAACAATGAATCATGGAACACTACATCAAAAACTAATGATGTAATGTATGGTGACTAACAGAACATAATAAAATAAAATTTAAAAAAAGAAATTCTATTGCCTGTATTTAATGTTTAATTTGTATTTTGAACATTTTTAATAATCACATATATTGTATTAACATTCAGGTTTCTATTTTCAATCCAAGATTAAAACATTTATAACATCTACTAGGGACATTATCTTTTTTTTTTTTTTTTTAGCTCTTGAGGATAAAATTCCCCACATAACATGTAAGGCTATTGCTTGATTTTCATATATTAAACTTTTCATGTACGTTTTCAGAGACTCATTAAACACAAAAATAGACCTGCCTCCAAAAAAATGTAATGGGCAGAAAAAAAAAACTTAGATGTAACCATTAGACCCTTGGCCTAGAAAAAGAAATATCTAGGTGTTTTATGAGCTTTCTAGCAAGCTTAACCAATTTTGTTTCCCTACCATTTTCTTTTTGTTTTACCAGATAAAGCATGCTGGTGTCATTAGTTCTCCCTTGGCAGTTATGGATATTATGAGATTATTATACATCCTGCCTATGAATATTTTGGACTCCAGTTTCTTTGTCCTGTAATTTTTAAAATATGGGCTCCTTCTACCCCACTGCTTTGGTACAATCTCTTGTGGTGAGTTAGAGGAAGGACACCAGCCTGGCTTTGAGGCTTCTGGCAGAACATTAGTCTTGTGTGGCTGTGGTTACCACTAGGTTATTGCTGAGAAATCATGTCAAAGGCCTATGCATTAAATACTGTTAGTGGTTTTAGTCCATTCATTGTTCCCATTTGAATAAAATAAAAACTCTTGTGCAACAGGATTTCTGGGGGCGGTGGGAAAAGCTTTAGGTTCAATAAAGGCCAGGTTGCTCTCTGCGTAGACTGGATTTACTTCTGTTTTACTCAGCCATTATCTAGACAGGCAAGAGAAATTCTGTCTCTAAATGTTCTACATGGTTTTCATATCTGGTAGAAACATTAAGGATAATGGTAATAATAATCAGAATGTACCATATACCAGGTTAAGTACTAGTATAAAAACTTAGCATGTCTATCTTGCTTGATAAGAGTCATAATCACAACCAGTATCATTTATAAGTCCCATCTATAAGCCAGGTGCTTCACCTACATTATTCTATCTCCACAACACCTTTCTGAGAGAGGTGCTTAGAGATCGGGGAATAAAGGCACTGACAGTTAAGAAGTATGTCCAAGATTACACAGGCGGTAAATCACAGAACTGGGATTTAAACGCAGACTCTCGGGCCTTTTTCATATAATGCAGTCGAATCGATTTTTATACTTAAAAAAGCACTTGGTCACTTATTACTTTATTTCACTTTGACAAGAAGATAGTAGCATCTCCACGTTAAAAGTAAGGAAAATGAGACACGAAGAGGGTCAATGGCTTGCCCAACTTCACACCTGAACGGCAGAGTTGGTCCAGAGTCCCCATTTCTGGCCATTAATGCGATACCTTTGCTGCTGTTCACCCACCCAATGACCGGGTGAGTTCACGTTAAGAAAGCACAGTTTTAATCCCTGCACTCCAAACAAACCTTAAGAGGGTCATCATCCTTGAATTCCTTGAAACCATTGTTTTACACCTAGTCTAATCACAGTAAGGAAATAGGCAGTAGTTTAAATATCCAAGAACCCAAAGCGCCTTAGTTTGTGCCAGCAAACATTGATCTTCAAAGATAGAGTTCTCAAGAGTTTTACATTCCAAACCACACTTCCCAATAAAAATGATCCTCCAGAGCAAGTTCCAAAGTAAGCTCCAGGCCTGGATCCCAGGCCATGAGTTCTATGGGAGGGCGTCATCCACAACCCACCAGAAATTTGGCACGTTGTTTAGACAACCCGTCTCCATCAAGCTGCCTTTGATAAGCCCAGATGGGCTTCTCTGGGCACCAGCTGACCTCCTCCTGCTCACCTTCACGGGGCTCTCTCTTCGGTTGCCCTTTCCCCTCCAGCTCCTAGAGCCCTGCACAAATGCTCCTCTTTGCCAAGAAGATATATTGACTCAAATGATCAGATAACTATGCTGATCATTTTTCTTGGCCAATCAATGCTGTGTCACTTCAGGTCTCTAGAAAATTTCCTCCAACTACTTGACAGCCTTATCCACTTACAGAGTTCTTAAAACCTAGATGCAGGTTGAGCCCAGATTCTAATTTCAAATCTCCGTTGGCACTTGGGATATGTTCTGTCTTCCATCTCCAGCTGGCCCACTGTCATGCCCTTTCCTCTGGAACGAAGACTTCCCCACATTCATCTCCACATTCCTCACACTTACGCTAGTGGAATTTATAGCTTACTAACTCAGCCTTGCCCCAAAGAGCAAGCAAAGGGGAATTTGGTTCAGGGCCCGCCTGCTAGGCAGAAAATAGTCAAAGTTCCAATTTTTGACCTTTTTGCCCAAATTTTCCCTCCTGTGCTCTTTCCCCATTTGAAAGACTTGCCTTCTAGAGGTCTCTGCTTAACTTTTTCAGCACCCAGCACTTGACTTGAACACTGCCTTGTTAAGTTTCAGAAAAAAAAAAAAGACCTACTTTCTGTAGAAAGTTTATGGAATCAGACCCTTTTCCTGCTCCAAAGTATTCCTCAGCAGTCTAGTAGGAGGTGTTTTTGAAAGATGCGTAGACTCCTGCAGGCCATCTCAGTGTCCTTAGGTTAATCACTGCCCATGAAATGACCTGTGAAATTGGGTAAATTTCTACTCCACCACACTGAATGGTAGCGTGGATGACCCTAAGAGCCCCCCTGACTTCTTAGAGTTCTCAAAAGCAACTTAAACAAAGAGAAGACCTCATCGAGTCAGGGTCCCCTCAGCCATTTCCTGTTTTACAGAAAGCAGACACTTGGACTCATTTACTCATTCATTCAACAAACATTTTTTTTGTGCCCCGGCTCAGAGCCAAGGATGAGTTATGCTGAGGGTACACCAGGGAAACACAAAATAACAATAATCCCTCCCTTCAAAGAGGCCCAGAGCCTCAGGAGGGACTCACGCCTCAAGCCCCATTTCTATTTCGGGTGGCTTGACCCCTCCTGACCTCCTGACAAACTACTGAGGGCTGGGAAAGAATTGCCCCCCTCTTCTCATTTAATCCCTCATCCCCTTTGGCAGGGGGAGTGAAGTAGAGACTGATTGGGTACAAGCTCCCCTTCCTTCCTCATGTTCGTCATTTCTTAACCTCTAGTCATCTCAGTTACCTTGTCCATAAAAGAGTAGGTACTATTTCTTGTCTACTTTGTAGGGGTGTTAAGATGACTAAGAATCACATAAGTGAAGTGCCTGGCACAGAGCGATTGCTTGAAAAACAATGGCAGCTATTTTCATAAGAAATGGAAAGAGGTACAGTAATTGTCCCATAAGTCATAGCTATTAATATGGTAGTTCTTTGTCCTCAATCCAAAACTCCAAGGGCTGATCCATCAAGGTGAGGCTTAGCGGATGGCGGTGGAGGATTAGTTTTCCCTGGCTCCTTTCTCAGCCTGCATCAGGCAAACCCTGTTTGTACAAGCCTTTCTGTTCTGTCCTCAGGAGCTCAGGGTGTCTCTGTTCCTCAGGAGCTCAGGGTGTCTCGGCTCCTCAGGCAGTCTCGGCTCCTCAGGCAGGCCACGTTCTACCTGCAGAAGCTTCCTGTGCAGCCAGGGGTCAAGCAGTTGGCAAAGTCAAGCCAGCCAGCTGCCGTGAAGTGATACGTCTGAAGGAAATCCTGGGTCAGTCCTGCAAGGGAGTTGTAAACTGCAGCCTGGATTAACCCAGGCTGTTCATCATTGTGTCTCAGCTGCTCATCCTCTCAGCCGGCCGGGCAACTGGGAAAGAACTCTAGGACCACCACTCCCCGGGGCCCAGAACGGCCAGAGGGAACAGTGGGGATTCCTGATCCGGACAAGTTCTCTTTCCCAGAAAAGGGATTAAGCGTGCCCTGACAAAATTCACTCTTCCATCATTCTTTCCTGGGGAGTGAAGTGGGTGAGAAAAGAGACCTGAACCACTTATTCCTTCCCCCCTTAAAATTCCCTTCAAACCACTCCATGCATTTTGCATCTGAACAAGCCATCTATGGATCTACTGCCATCAGATGGGTCTGTGTTCTTGGTAAAATGAGGATAATGCCAACCGTAGAGGGTTGCAGTAAGAAGTAAATGAGAGATCACACGTGAAAGCACTTACCGAACTGTGTGGTCTGTGATGAGTACAGAATGCACGCTAGGATTGCCTTTTTCTGAAGAATTGTGTAAGGCAGTATTGCGCAGGGTGAGGAAAACAAGCCCACACGTCTCTCTCAGAGCTCTCTCGCTGTAGAGGTGACCAACACCTGACTCAAAGTCGATTAGAAGAAAAATAAAAGGAATTCACTGGCTCATGGAATTCGTAGGTGTGCCTAGACCTTGAGGCTCAAAGGAGGTTTTCAGGGCTCTTTTTCTCTCTCTCTTAGCTGGCTCTGCTTAGCTCTAATTCTCTTTGCTGTTGGCCTCATTCTCTCCTGCCACAAACGGCCTCTCTCCATGTGGGAAGGAAGACAGCCATGGAAATCATGATCCAAAAGGAAGAGGCACACGTTCTCTCCCAGTGTCCACGTTTTAAATCTCATGGCACGACTTTGGCCTTTTGTGGGTCACGTGCCCCTTCCTTGGACCAGGAGTCAACAAACTATGACCCACAGGCCAAATCTAGCCTAACTCCTGCTTTTGGACAGTGTGTCCAAAATGCTGTTGTCATTTTTAAATGGGGAAAAAAAGCACAAAAGAAAGATAATATTTTCTAATACCTGTAAATTATATGAAATTCAAATTTTAGTGCCCATAAATTTCAGTTTTACTGGACACACCGCAGCCATTCATTTACATATTGTTTATGTCTATTTTCCTCTACAACAGAAGTGGAGTAGTGGTAACGGAGACCAGATTGGCCCACAAAACCTAAAATATTGCTATCTGTTCTTTACAGAGAAATTGTGCTGACCTTGCCCTAGACCAGTCATGGTAAACAAGAAGACAGGACACTCTGGTTGGATCTGAATCATGCGCCCACACCTAGGAGACAGACAAGGTAAGATAAGTAGTAATACTTTATATTTGTTGAGCACTTAGAGTGTGAAGCAATGTTATTAGCACTTCATTTGTATTAGTTTACTTAGTCTTTATAATAACTTTTATTATCCCCATGCAATAGACAAAAATACTAAGGCACAGAAAGGTTAAGGAGTCTGTCCAGAATGACATAGCAAATAAGTGGTAGAGCTGAGATTTGAACCAAGCCATTTGGCTCCAGAGGTCACACACTGGCCACTGTTCAGGTCTGTTCTAGCCAAACAATGTGGGATGGGGAGTAGGACAGTTTTGAGGGTAAAGAGGGGTGTGGGGGAAAAGAAACAACAGATAACCGTGTTTTTTTTCTTTTTTGTTTTGTTTTGTTTTGATCTAGTGTGAAGTGGTGTGAGATCTGCCCTTTGGGGTGGTAGTCATGGTGTTTGCTTACATTCATGGATTACTTACTTTGGGCTAATCCTAAGTACTTTGTGGATGTTGTCTCATTGAGGAAGCCAAAGCTTTGACAGGTTACACAGGTTGTCCAGGGGTGCACGGCATCCTGATGAGAAGACAGGTCTGTCTGATGCAAGGGCCTGGGCACATAGCCATTACACCACACTGCCTCCCATCCCAGAGGATGAAGACAGATCAGCTCTCGAGCGGACATGGTAGAGAGCCTGACACATTATAGGCACTCCATTCAGGTTAGTTTCTTCTCTTCCTCTTTCCTGACTTTTCCTATTCACATAACGGAGAGGTGTATGAGCAAGGAATCCATATGTATCCTTTGGAAGAACACTTTAAGTAAAATAAAAAAAAAATCTCCCTTTAATCAGTCTTGCTGTCAAAAAGGCAGAGCAAAAATAGTAAAGGTTCAGAGAAGGGCAGTGAAAATAATGTGTGGCATGCATGGCAGAAGAGCATGCCATGAAAAGAGGCATTCCAAACCCGGGGATCATTTCATTTGGAAGGGCAAGCTCCCAGAGGCACAGTGTTTACAGTATCACAAGCTGACGACAGGTATAGGAAACGCTAATCAGGACCTGGTATTTACTTTTCCCCCAAAATACAAGAACCAGACTGTTTAACGCATTGTATAATAGCCGTGTCACCTTCCACTTTGGAACACTATCAAAGTGAGCTCTACCCTCCCTTCCTACTGACTGTGGTGCCAAGCCACACCTCCAGCCCCAATCAGTACACAAGACACTGCGCTCTACACGTACTATGCAGCATCGAGGTTTCTAGCTGGAAGGTGTTTTGGGGCCAGGTAGATCAGCCTCCCGTGTTATACACGAAGTGCAAGCCCAGTAAGGTGAAATGGTTTGTCCAAATCTGCAGGGTGAGCTCATGGCATGTCTAGATTTAGCTGGGCCTTGCGACCGGTCAGAGGAACTGGACTGAGGTCCTGGCCAGACCTAGATGACCTTCCTGAGACTCAGTATCCTCATTTCTAACGTGGGTGGAAGATCAAATCGTGAAAGTACCCTAATGCTCAGTTTAGTATATCGCGGCTTACTGCTCAGTTTAGCACTTTTTCCTCTGTCCGTTCTGCTCCTTCGAATAGCCTTACATAGGAAAAAGAGCGCAATGCTGGACTGTTGAAAAAAAATGGAAGATGCAGCACCCCCTCCCCCTCTTGACTTCCCCCCACCAACAATAAAGTCCAAACTTCAAAAGAAACACACTCGCAAATGGTGGCCAGTCTCAGAGGCCTTTCCCGGAGTGGAACCCTGCGGTCAGATACTGGCCAGGGCAATCCTTGAACAACTTGGTTACAATCCAAGCCTGTTTTCAGTGGGGAATAAAGTTCATGTTTTGGAGACAGTATCCTTGACTTTTTTATCCTGTTATTCAAATATTTCCTAATAATCTTCGGCATTTATACACTCAAGAGACCTTGAAGGAAAAGGATGCAGGGCTCCAGTCTTTTTTCCTTCCTTTTGCTAATGAATAGATGTTTTCTTTCTGAATTCACTGGCCCTATCACCCTATTTTTTTTAACACTCAAATAACCCTCCAAGCAAGAGGTCAACTAGCAAATGGGTAAGTTACCAAGTTTTGGTTTGGACTTAATGCTATGAGTGCCTTTTCAACATGAAAAACCTACGTGGAAAGGAATTGAAATTTGAGCAAATACATACATAACGCATCAATTAGTTGGAATAAGTGTGGGTGTTTCTGGTGCCACCTATTGGTCATACTGTAAGACTGACTATATGCAGTATGATTGGTCCTGCAAATGAATACCAAAGGGAATTTATGCTGTAGCAGTACCGGTTACAAATTTCAGCAGGTCAGCTGAATGTCAAAATAGGGTGACTGTTGCTTGAACATCATCTTTAGTCACAGCTACTTGGAAGTGTAAGACTATTTTACTATGTGGTTTTTGCCTTGGTTTATTCACCGATACATGTTTAGAGAGAAATACATAATGAGGCATAATCTCTGGGAACTCTGAGATTAATTAACCAATACTCAGATTCAAATGATTTTTGTGTCTTGTGATTCAGAACTGGTGTTGGTGCCCTGCCCAGATTCCTTTACCAGCCAGCGCACCAGGCAGTTTCCCCGAGCTGCTGGGAAGTTGGCTAATCCAACGAACAGCTACCCCCTTCTCTGGAGAATTGCCCTTGGCCAGGAGGGAGCCACCTTGACCAGGAGACTACGTGCACACGTACACATTCATGTGGCCTCCACAACCAGTGGCCAATAGCTGACTGTCTCGGAGGCACAAAAGACCAGCCCTCCTAACCTTAAGGCAACACTAACCCTGTGGTGCAATTTGTTGCTCCAGAGCTCCCCATGGGATAAAGCCGAAGCCAAATTCTTGCTTAGCCCCCCTTCCCTGTCCTGTGTGGTTTCTCCTTGAAAACACTCCGTAAATCACTTGAACACAACTCATCTCAGGCTCTGCTTCCAAGGAAGCTGACCTAAGACAAGAACTATCCCATGGAAAGCCATATCTGTGATGATGGAAGAAATCATGAGAGCAAAATAGCCCTTCGGGTCTATGAGTGTGGTTTTCCCAACATGCTCGAGTGGCTAAACAAAGCGACTCTTCTCCATAGGCGGTAGGTCCCAGACTAAACAGCAGCAGTGATATTGCACTGTGGGACCATGGACCTGTGTGATGATATAAAATATATCCTTGAAATGGCACTATGCCTGCGTTTTCTGAGAAATGCATTTAGTTTCAAAATAGTACATCCGTGCTGGCATTAGACCTAGTGCTCCCAGGGGTAATGAAGAATGACCTGGAACCGGAGCACTTGAGGCCTTTCATATTTCTGCATCTTCTGGAGGAGCCAGGACTTTTTGGCTTGTGCCAAAGGAGAGTGTTGGGGAAAGGAGAAGGCTCTGCAGGGGATAGTTCTGGAAATCTCCTAAGAATGGGTGGCTGATTAAATCGGGTTCTGCCTGCCGAAGTTCCAGCTGGTTCTCCAGAAGTCGTCATGGCCAGTAAGAAGCAGCTGGAAGGGTAGGGACTGGTCAGGCCTGGGTTTGAATGCTCCTCCTACTTACTCAGTTTCCTCATCTACAGAATGGGGAACCTAATATTCACTCCCTCAAGTTTCTGGGGGGTGGGGGAGGTAGAAATAGTGTCAGGTTAGCACCTGGCATACGTTAGCCAGTGAATACAAGGCAGCTACTTTTCTGCACTCAAGCAGTAGCATCTACCAATCAGCCTAGCTTCTCTCACTAATTAGGGTGATATTTTGGCCTTATTTATTTATTTATTTATTTACTTATTTACTTATTTATTCAACTTGTTTCAAACAAGTCAGGAAAAGGAGGCTGTTTATTTAGAGCTCTACTGGCCCCCCCCAGAGCTATTTTAATTTAATTTTAATTTTTTTTATTAATCCTCAGATTATTATGATCCTCACATAATGTAAGGCCATCCTGTATGCTTGAGCAAACTGTAGAGTGTTCAGATGTGCCCCACTGTGGGTAAGCGGGGCTAAAATCTAGCCTTCTTCCTCTCCCCAAGCCATCAACCCCACAGGTAGTGTCCACCAGGAGGTGATACTTTACTAGTTCTCATAGAAACTGGGCTAGAAGCAGCCCTGACATTGTATAAGCCCTTTGTTCAAGGTTAGATCCCCAGAGGGGACCACGAGGACCCCCCCTGAAGAGAAGACCTGAGCATCATGCTCTCTAGACCCACTTTCTCCCACCTATATGCCTGACCCTCACAAATAAAAGCCTGACAAAGATATTTTAGGCCATAGTAATTACCTGCCAGGGGTCGCCTCAAAATATGGTGCCTAGCTCAGATGTCCCCATATCATAATATGGTAGGGTCTGAAAAAGTACCAACACCATCACCTGGGGCACTTGGTGAAAAATGCAATATCCTGAGCCATACACCTGACCTTCTAGATTCTACAATCTCTAGAGATTAAATTAGGGAACAGCTGTTGAGATATGATTAATTTCTTCCTCACAGGCTTGCTGACTATAAAGAAGGCTTCCGTGGTCAAGGATTCCCTTCATTAACAAAGTCTACAGAAGAGTCATGGTGAAGAGTTGAATGTTCCCTAAAAAGGCTCTTCCTCTGAGAAGAAGCCCAAAGATAAAAAAAAGCCATAGGCTTCCCTTTCCTTGATAGCCTCCTTCCACTCCATATCCAATTCCCCCAACACATACATAATATTATCTCTCTTAGGGCTCTTCCTTCTCTCTCCCTTTCTTGTTTCTGGTTGCTGGTATATAGAACATATCCCCCAGCAAGCAGAGGCA